GTGTGTTGATGGGGCTGAAGTTTGACAGGGCATGAACTGGACCATGACCTGGGGCTGATTAAATGGGGAAGGGGGCTGTGGAGTCAATCCTAAGTGTCTCTCTGACACGGAAAGATGACTGGCATTTCAGGACAGGTTAGTTGATTTTCTTGTTTCTGTACATGTTTGATTGCATCATCATTATCATTGACTGGTATTTTTTACTGCCATAAGTAACTTCCAGGATGTGGACATCCTCCTCCCCAGATACATTCTGAAGGAAAGCAATGAATCAAGGAGTAGGAGAAAGGCTGGTTTCCATTTAGTCTACTGTATGAAGCTATGGCCCAAATATGCCAAGATCTCCTCCTAAATCAGGATGAGACAAGATAAGTCATTCCAAGATGAGTTTAGATGTTCACATTTTCACTAGCTTAGGGGTTAATTTTTCTGTCATTTGTTGTAACAGCTTCATACCATTAATTTCAGTGTAGATGCTCATAAGCTACAGGCTCCACACTTGCCTGCATTTTCTTTTAAGTCTGATAAACAGCACCCTGGCAAATCCTGGAGAAATCAAGCTCATGCCAGCCCTTCTCCTTCCCAGAACTTAACCCTTCTCCATCCATTGGTATTACCTGACCAGGAGGAGCATGGCTTACAGAAAGGGATTTAACTTCAAATGTGTCTAACTTCAGCATAACAAACTTCTACAAAAGAGACTTCTAATGACCTCCCCTGAACAGCAGGACATCGGAACTACATGGCTGAGAAAGGATTTCCAAATTGCAACAGGGAAAGGGCAGCAGGCCCTTCATTGCCAGGCCCACAAGACTTAGGACTATAGGACTTCACAAGCAGAGATGGCATCTATCTTGACAGAATTAAAAGCACTACTTGTCCCACACACAGTTATTAAGAAACCCTTCACAGCACACTGCAGCTATGTCCACAATGCATCACAAACCATATTTAATGAAAGGCTACTAACCAAACCGAAAACAAGTATGTTTCTGAGATGCCACTAAAACCTGTCTTAAATTACACCAGCATGAGATGATAACAAGCAATTAAACAAAAATAATGAAATTCTGTGAGCAAACTTCACAAGAACTTACTCTTCCAGTTGTACAGAAAGTTTAGGAGGTTTGGGATAGGACACTGGCAGAGTTGAGATGCTACATTCAGTTTCCTAAACTGAGGCCACAATAGATTACATTGCTTCATTGAGAAACAGTGGACAGCTCAGTAATTTCCAAATCTGCTCTTCAAATTGGCTTAATTCTACTGTCTTTAGAGATGAAGAACAACATATTTATTTCAACCTATTTATTTCTATTTCTGACTTGCAGTAGGCTGGAGCTTACACCAAGTTAAGGCACGGGTGTAGAGGGTATGGCCAGCTGTTCCCAGTGTAACGCAGAACAGTTCTCTACTTGTTCATATGGAAATTATGAGAACAGTATCTGGAGAGGGCACAAAACCCATTAAGCCAGGGATTCCCCGTTAATATGAAGACTACTACACAGGGTATTACCCTTCCATCTAAGCACTGCCAGGGATGGTGCTGCAAATGCTCACATATGCCTGAGGAGCCCTGTTAAATGATATTACCTAGGGCCAACCTGGCACTTCCACGATGTGGGAAACCAACCCTGCCTTTTGCACACTCGATATATCACAGAACCAGGTATCCACAAGCCCCACAGATGCAAGCACATATGCAAGTGGCAACCTTCATAACTTAATGACCACTATCTATTCAACTCTATGCACTATTTGGAAATTCCAGGTTAACTACCCACACAGTATCTCAACTCCAAACGGGGAGTGTGTGTGCTAAATATGCACCTGTGTTTGAGAACCTGTGTGTGTACATAATCCCATTTTGCGCACATGTGGTTATTTTGCAAAGCCATCCCAAATAAATGTTTTGACAGGTCTTTGCTCTTACATCATTCATAAAACAGAAAAGGGGGAAAAAAACAAGACAAAAGCAATCAGTTTTCAGTCCTCTTGGCAATGATGTTCTTTTGATAGGACTGAGTCTGATGAGACTTTATCAGAAGCTCAAAAGCTTTGCAGGAGACAGAACGTTAAGTACGTACTTAAGGCATATTAATAGAATCATAGGATCGTTTGGGTTGGAAGGGACCTTTAAAGATCATCTAGCCCAACTCCTGATATGTCTCAAGGGAGTACTTAAAGAGGGGAATTACAAAGAACTGGGCAAGAAAATGCTACTCGATTGATACTAGGAAAATGATTCATTGCTTACAAAGAAAATTCTCCCTGGAGCTACATTTCTGTTTTTATTAGGTGGGAAGACCAAATGAAAGAACAGAAATTGTTGCAGTGACAATCACTAACAGCCCACTGCAGAAAACACACACACACCCTGTGGCTGGCTGCAGCATGGTTTTTATGGACATGCAATCTCTTGAGGTGTGTCTACATGTAGATGGTTGGGAGAGTTATGGGGAATGAACTACAGGCATGAAATTAGAGCTCAGAAAACCCTTCATGTTCTCAATCAGAAATAAAGCATTGTTAAATCTAGAGCAGAGGGCTGTGAACTGGCTGACTATGTTCCACATCAGAGAGATGTGAACCAAAAATCCAGTTAGCCCAAAAATCCAGTTAGAGATCAATTGTTTCTGCAGCATCTAAGCTGGCTTCTCTTCATTCCTTCCCTTAAAGCAATTGCAGCTTCAAATTCTCATTTGATGAGGCAGACACAAATCACTCTGTCATTCTTCACAGGCTAGGAGCCTGGGTTCTTTTTTAACTTTTTTTTTTTCCCCCTTTTCTTTTTTTGGAGAGGAGGGAGAGGGGAGAAAACAACCTTGCTTAGTCATTTTTGAAATGACTGGGTAGCGTATTCATATATGCTGTGAGAAGTTCAATAGTAATCTAGAGATGAGGACAGAAAAATGCAGACTGGCAGCCCAGATCCTTGAGAGAGCAAGTCGGCAGATCAAAAAAGTTTATTGTCAAGGTGACTTGAGCTAAAAGACCTGTAATGCCTACTATATTTACACAGTATTGTCTGTAGGATGTAGACTGACAAAATTTGGAGAATTTTAATACTTTAAATGCATAAAAAGTCAATGTTCATCTCAAAGTTAAGCCACATCTTGCAAGTGACAAACACTGAATTTTTGAGAGTCCAGCATTCCCAAAGGCTGTGGCTGTAAAACATTGCTGTTCTTTCATCATATGGATTTGGTTTCAGCAGTCACTCAAAAATGCATCTCAAACTGCCAGTGCCCCCAACATTCCCATTTACTCAGTGTTCCTCCAAAATCCTTTCAGATGCTTGTTCTGAAAAATGAAGTAAAACGTGTTGAACTGATCCTTGCTGCAATCTCACAAAAGCCCCGAGAGCTTACTCACAACTGTGTGTGTCACAGTGTTCACTGAGGACTTGTGTTCAGTGGGGACTGTGATGCCACGGCTGCGTGGTGGCACATTCACCAGCCTGTCCCATCGGCTCACCGTTCCCTTACCTGCAGGGACACGGAGCAGGTGCTGACCCCTTGTATCTGTCTCTCATGTACTGAATCTTCAACTCAGATTTTATCAAAGGAACCAGACTGATCTGTTTCAACAGGACTTTCTAAACCAGCAAAGAAGAGGCAGGATTTGGGCCGCCCTGCACATTTCATGGTGAAATGCCATTTAGTGATGTAGAGAACTCAACACAGTGATACTGAATCTCACAACTACACGGGACTGTTTCCCCTTCCTGACTTCCAGATTTTAACACCAATGTCTCATATAACAGAAAATACAAAGGTTCTGATGTCTCCAGTGCCAAAAGTTTCTGCATTAAAAATGAAACCTTGATATTCTTTGACAGACACAGAACCTAAATGACCCTCTCCCGTATCAGGAGACGGGCTCATTAGTGCAGTATGCATTGGCAGTTAAGCACCAAGGAAGAGAAAAAGCTGACCTGGCAGCCACAATGCATTCATTCAGTTACTTTGGTGCTCATGTCCTCTTCTGTATGGGACTTGCCCAGAAGCAGTTAAGGTATATACAGGCAGTTTTTTAAGCTGCAGCATATTGGAAGAAGACTGAAAGCAATAAGAAGTTCAATGCAGCTCAGAAACTGTCTTGCATGATTACTCTGTCTTCACAAACCAAGTCAGGCACAAAGGGAAATAAAAATAACCAAGGCTGGAGCTTTGAAGCTTCAAGAGAGGGAAAAAAAAAGTCTGTGCCCTCTTTTCCAAGCACAAGTGAAAAACTACATTAACTAAAGAGTGCTTGGCCCCATGCACTGTGCCATACTGACAACAGCAACTGCAATTTAATCAAAAAGCCTCTATTGGCAGAGCATGGCACCTTGATGGTACCTTTTAATTCATAAACATTCCTCCCACAGAGGGATGAATTTGTGTGTTAGCTTGCAGAGAACATCTTCCCTGCCGATGTAAAATCCTACAACTCCACTGCAGCCTGATGAGCTGCACTAGTAATTACTAGCAGGGAGTCTGTCCCAAAATCTCTGGGTGCGAACCAGGGCACACTTAAAAAAGCATTTTCTCACTCTGTCACTCCCACCCCCATCCACCCACCTCCTGGACTAAATTACAAGAAAACTGACTCTTCTCCATCATTCCCATTACTTAAGTGATCTTAAATTAGATCTTAAAAAAGCTGGTTAAGCTCCAGCCTTATTAATTCAAGCAGAAAGTGTGGAAAAGGGAAGACTGACAACAGACACAGCAATTCACTTCCTATATCCTAGCAAATATATACAAGTACAGGGAGTTCTTTTTCCAGAAGTTCAACTGGTATGTACTGCAAGTGAGCAGAGCGCCCACCTCTGCAGATTGTATCACACAAAGAAGATGTCATTTCAAAAGAGTGCCAATTAAGAAACAGTTGTGTGAAAGACTTAATGTGACCATGGGGACATGTTACAAAGGGCTTCTCCTTCACTACAGAGCATCTATCTATCTATCTTCCTCTCCATATATATACACACATATATACACATACATACACGCACACACATAGACAGATGGATAGATATAAATACATGTGCGCACACACGCAGACACGCATACATATATATATATTTTTTATATATATATATTCTTTTCCAGTTCTTCGAGTGGTTACAACTACTTTAGTCTACAAGGCATCCTAAGGGCACTTCCTGGCTCTAGCAATAAAGTCCATCGTATTGTGGAGAGAAGTAAAGGGAATATCATTGAGGGAGAAGAACAGAACAGATTCCTATCTTGAATAATATCATGTAACACGTTGACACCTCTGAAAACTATCATTGTTGTTTCTGAGCCCAGATATTTTCTCCCTGTGTTCCACGAGGGCAAACATTCATCTTGTTCAATTGCTGTGTACAGAGGTGCCACTATGCGATTTTCCCTTTTTGGTGGATAAGTAGTTGCTTCACTTCCAAATAGTTTGGACTGTATGATACAATATCTTATGCATCATTTTTTGTTGGTTTGTTTAAAGGGAGATTAAAAGAGTTTTGCTTTTTTCTTCATGTCGTTGCGTCTCCAGAGAGGTAACTTGTCAAACTCCTGTATCGTCATGCCAAATATTTCTTGAAAAACTTCAGGTGCTAAGTGACGCTTTAAACAAAAAAAAAAAAAAAAAGG